ATGTGTGGCATGTGGCAGCACAGAAGAGTCTGCAACAACACATATTGCATGTCCGCCCTCATCTGGACACAGCTTAAGTGTCTTAAATCCAGGATAAAGCTACCCAAAAAAAAAACTTTAGAAAAATAATGCACCCACATAAATTCCACTGGTATAGAGGTCACCTCTCTGCTTCTGTCCCAGGGTATTTTTTTGCTGTAAGAAAACAGGCTGTTATATCCTTTCCTGCCATGTAGCAGTCCAGGTAGATGTTACTATAGACCACATTTCCTGAATGAGCGCAGCATAAAAACAAAGTATATGTCCTCTAGATGCTAAAATGAAATCACTTAAAACATGGCTAATCAAAGAGGAGGAAATTGCACTTCCAACAAGTGGATCAACTTCTCATGGTTGTAACATTGAGCCATCCTTGTACTCACCTACTGCAGAAACCAAATGCTATTTACTTGATACTATTAACATTCCTGAGATATCTCATCAATCACAGCAGAAGTCTTTCCCCGTGTTTAGCTCTGGAAAACAAAGTAATTCTTTCTGATCTTACTGGTTGGATGATTTTCACTCTCTCCATTATTCTGAAGCTAGAGACAGCATATTTTGTTTTTCGTGCTATAGCTCTTAAGTGTAAAGTATGTTTTGACTGTGTACATAGAGGAAGTTTTCAGAGAGCACATCTGGACATGAAATTATTTTGATACAATAAACTGTGGCGCAGTTCACCATGGAGTTGTTTGCTCCAAGGCACAACATTTACAAGTGCACCCAGGACTGCAGAAACGTTGACCTGGGGCAGTGCAACCCAGGCTGGCAAGGGGCCTTGAGGGTCAGCCTGCTAGCTCAGCATTTCTCCTGCCTGGATCAGCGTGCTGCAGAGGGGCTGGCTGGGGTATCAGTGCAGGACTCCCCGGCAGGCAGCCCGCCCCACACTAAAGCACCCTTGTGCCCTAGCCAGCCCCAGTCACCATCTACGTGTGCGTTGTGGTGGAGTGAAAAAACTGCATCTTGGACTAGTACTTGTGTTGGGCAGTACTATCCTACAGCAGAATTAATTA